AACTGCTTAAACACAGTTTTATCCAGGCCTGATTCTAGAATTAAATACTGAGGGTGCTTCAGAAATTAATGAGTGTGCTCTGGCCTCAATGAACATAATTTTTCTCATATATTTTTGTCCCGTCCATTGCTCTTTCAAGTGTGAATCCCGCATAATATGCGGATGTCATTCCCTAAACTGTGCAGCATGTACAGTATGTGGCTGAAAAACAAAACTTTTATACAAATTCTGAATAGATGATATATAGCAAGCACACAAAGAGCACTCCCTTTATAATCACTAAAAAGCTTTCCCTCGTCTTAGTTCATCGCGATCTCATGAAGTTTTGTTCAAATGAGGATTTGTGGGCTTGCAAAACTCAGCAATGGACAAAAATGAGCAGGATATTTGTTAATTTCCTCCCTGAAAGTCTCTTATACAGTTAGAGTAATCATTAATGCACACAGACTTCATCAAATACTCCTTGCATCTGTTGATTTCATTTTATGTGTGGATTATTTGGTTTTATTTAGTGTGAATCTTCGGTTTCAACAGCTCTGAATAAACAATGTGATATGCGGCCGGCCAATGTTTATTTGAATCAAAACACAAAACATAAGGCTATTTACCCTATTTGCATCTGCGAGGCATCCATTAAACATTTTCCGTGTGTGTTAACGTCAGTATTTATGACTGTCGAATGTCTGACTACTTGACTCTTTGCAGACCATGTGTTTCTGAATTCTTCATCAAGCGCAACATCGCACGGAGAAAAAGACTTGAAAAACGAACACCAAGTAGGCCTAGTTTAACACTGAGTAATGAGCCCATATCATTTCGGGGTGGGGGTGTTACGGAGGTTGGGCACCCACCGGCATAAACATAAATCGGTGCCTATGACTGTAACATTAACAACAATATTGTTGAAGTCACTTTCAGGTTGATTTTCTTCCAGCTGATGAACGATACAAACATTGACAGCCAATTACAATCCGCACAGCTTTAAGACTGCAGCGTGCACTTACAGTAAACAGAACATTATCATCTGTTGGTGTTGACACTAGTTTATTAGTTTAATCTCGTTATTATGGTTGCACTTTATTTTACTGTACATGCACTTACATGTAATTACTCTGTACTTACTTTAGAAAGTACTGGAAAATATAAGGTAACTACATGGGTTAGGGTTAGGGGTAGTAATAGGTTCAGGGTTAGTATCTAGTTATTACCCAGTTTTGCCTCAGGAAATGTAAGGATCTAATTTTAGTCATGTTAGGCTACTAAAAGAGTTCTTAAAAAGAAGTTTCAACCTTATTTGCTACTTAGTGTCAGAATAAACCTTGAAAAACCTGAAGGGGGATGAAACAAGACCAACTGGATTAGCTGATCGTCCAGTCGGAGACATACTCGTCCTTGTGCTGTGAGCTTTAGTACCGGATGTTTCTATATTTTTATAGCAGGAGGGTTTTTTAAAGGGAATTCTGCTCCACCGAGATTTGCAGCTCAAAGCTGGGCTTATCTGCTCCCAGGTGTTGGACCTGTGGTGTTTGAGGAACAGAGTGAGGTCCACAGGTCTTCTCTGGATGTAGGCAGGGGTTAACGAGACAGGGTTTTACACCAGCTCAGCTCATGCAAGTCTAACTCCTACTAACAGCCGCAGGCAACACACACTTGCGCACGCTCACACACACACAGTCTCACGCTGAGAGGGAAACTCTCACCTCACCAAAGTGTCCATGCAGACAGACTTTTCCGTCTGCAGAGCTGTGAGTCACAGACATGAGGTAGAAAGAAAGAGTGTGTGTGTGTCTGTGTGTGCGCGTACCTTCCTACAAACAGAGCTTGAAGGATGCTGTTTCTTTGTAACTTTAGAATTGGAGATGTTCAGTAATTAATTTACACTTGTATTACTTAATATAATATTTCCTTTTAACAAACTAAAAATGTAACATGGTATTTCCATGCTCTTTTGAACATGTACCATACTATTACCATGTTTTTTTCTCTGAGTACCATGGTATACAACAAATGAATGTGGTATTACCATTCATCACTGTATTATGGGAATGCATGATATTCTCTGAAGTACATTTAGAGTACTATAATATCATGATATGTAGCCTAAATAGTACTTGTTCTGTTCATATTTCAAAAATATTATAGTAATACTATTTAATTCTTTTAAGTACCTTGGTGTACCTTGGCGTTCTTTTAAATACCATTGTGGAGTATTATAGTATTAGTTACTATCATAGTACCATATGGTGAAATCATATTTTTGGGTACCTTGGAATACCACGTAAATACCATGGTTACCATCAGTACTTTTTGTGAAGTGTTATTTTATAATCATTATATATTTGAATATTTACAAGCCTTTGTCATCCGGTTGCAAACAGACGGTCAATGGAATGAGCGAATACACAATTGGTGAGTAATTATTGCTTTTCATCAAATCAGTTAATACTTCAGGGCAAATGTTAAGAGATTGTAGGGATCGTACCTATTCTCATGTATAAAAGTCAGATTTTTTTGTTGTATACTGTCATATAGTATATATTTTTTTGAGTTAATCGGAATACCATGTAATGCAATGCACCATGTACCATGGTGTTTGAATCAATGTCATGGTATAAATCAAATAACTATGGTATTATCATTGGTTACTATGAGTGTACCACCACAGTAGTTTTTGTAATGTTTGAAAGGAACAATGACAATGGCTTTGACAAGGAATTGATATGCTTAACAATGCTTTGTTTGAGAGGTGTAGCTCTTTAGCAGGTCCGGAAAAGTAGACAACTCTCCTCTCCTCTCATGCAGGGCAGAGCTGTGGTGACATTAACATTCTGATGCCTTAACGTCTCTGATGAATGTTCCAATTGCTGCACCTCTCTCTCTCTCTCTCTCTCTCTCTGTCTCTGTCTTTCTCTCTCTCTCTCGCATTCACACACGGTCACTTATATACTATACGCATCGGCAGAATAATCCTCCTCCTTCACACTCATTCACACACACACACACAGACGTTGCATTTGTGTGCCTGCGACTAGAAGTTTTTTGCCGCCTCTAGAAGAGAGCTCACTTCTTCTACCTCCTGCAGGGAACACCAGCCTATTTATAGATCAAGGGTTAGCAGGGTGGAGAGAGAGAGAGAACAGAGAGAGCAAGAGATGAGGAGAAAAGAGAGAAGGGTGAGAAAATGCTGCAATTATGAAGCAAGTGTTGCACCGAGCCCTTGTGCGTAATAGAGAATGTGATGGTGAACGGCAGCGCTTTATAATTTATTTACACAGCACAGGTCATTGTCTTCTCTTGTCACAGATTTTGACCCGTTTTGAGCTACACTAGACCCTTATATATCCACATCACAATGCTGTTGAAATAACTATTATTTCTATTACTATTAAAATCATATAAAAGCATTTGCAAGTATTGAATTTGGTAATGCAGCATATTTCTAGGTGATGCATATTTGATGAGAAAACAATGTAGGATTAGACTTCATTTAACCATCGAGAATGGATCATGAACAGTCGCCTCTATATGGCCGGTGGTTGAGAAATAAGAGGGCATGGTGACCTTAAAAAGTCATTTCAGAGGCGTAGAAATTTATGTTTTATTGTAAAGATATTTTTCTTTGGCATAACATGCACAATAAGACCAGGTTTAAATGGGGTTTCAATGTTGACTTGAGGGATATTGCCCAGTGTTGTAATACTTGGACTCGGTCTTGGTCTTCTTGTCATGGACTCTGCAGCATTTGGAGCATTCAGTCTTGACTCAGAATACAACACTGCAGACACATTTTGTTTTTCTGTACCGACTCACACATATGATCACTCTGTGCTGGACCAGTATGTATACACTGTGGAGACTCGTGTGACACTGATTCTAAACCAGGCTTCGTTCAGACTCGGACTCGACCCTCTTCTGGTCTTAGCCTTGACTTGGACTCAACCTATTATAGGTCTTGGCCTGTACTTAGACTCAGATGAGCTGGCTTTGTCTACAACACTGATATAGTCCACACTTTTTTATTTTCTTCCCCAAAGTACAATAATACATTTAGTCAGGTTTTCTTGCACCACAAACGGCAATCATGTAGTTTATGTCTATTATCCACCTTTTTTGGGGGGCTTCAAGTTAAACTGTGTTAGTACTGTGCTTTTAGAGGAAAAGGAAATTATGTCACATTTACTCACTCTCATTTAGTTTTGAACACAAAATAAGACATTTTTAAGAATGTTTAAACTCTTTTGCCTATACAGTGAAAGTCAGTGGAGTCCAAACATTTTTATTTTTGGTTTCTTTAAGAATTCTATATGCTAATAGAATAATGTTTTAATTGGCTAATCTCTTACTAACTTCTCGCTTGTAATGCTAGTGAATTCTAAATGGGCATTGATATGTGAACGTGGTCGGTCATATGCTAATGAGCTTGCTGTTTTGGCATCAATACAATGATGATTTCTGAATGATTCTTGCAGCATAGTTTTTGTAGATGGTTCTTATGTGTTCAAAAAGAAGGAAAGGAGCAAGATAAATTCTGTTTTCAATGATACACCCCCTTTAACTACTGTTGCAATTGTAACTACTACTGGTAGCTTTGTGCTGGTGCTTGAAGATTTGTACTGAACTGATGGTTATCAGTGGTGGTGTTTCTGCTCACCATCATACAGGTTGTAAAATCCTAGAGCAGTTTGACACAACACAGAGGAGGACAGTAATGTTAATGCTCTGTGGTGCGTAACAGTGTGGCCTCCGTTACATAGTATACATGAGGGCCTTAGAGTATGATTCTCCATGTTTGTAGCTGTGTGATTTTGTTGAGTAATGTGTTTTGACATAACTCATATTCTCTCAAACCTCAGGACTAACGTGACGTTTAAGGAATCAGACATGTATGGTCTGCGAAGGGGCATTTTGTTATTTCCATGCAATGATGTGCCTTTTTTCCCTATTTTCTCTTCCCTTTTTCCATGTCTCACGTCCTTTCTCCATCTCTTTCCTGTCTGCAGTGAGTGACAGCTGCTTCAGAAACCTTGCTGAGGACCGCAGTGGGATTAACCTCAAAGATCTTGTCCATGACCCGTCCTTGTAAGTGACTCACACACAACACATTGGCTATGCACAATACAACAATGCCCCTGCATCAGGTCCTGTTCACCATAGGACATTTCCAGTTATCGTGTTCCATTCCTAGTCTTTCTGTGCTGAATGGATGGTTGTCCTTCATGAAGATCAAGGCTCTGTCCCAAATTGAAAGGCATGGAGATCAAGGCCCTGTCCCAGATCAAGGCATGTTCATGAAGCTCACAAAACGGCAGTGCAGCGGTGTTCAGTCTTGCTCCTGGAGGGCCAGTGTCCTGCAGAGTCCTCTAAACTGCCTCAACACTTGCCTGGAAGTTTCTAGTAATCCTGAAGACCTTGATTATCTCGTTTCATTTAGGATTGGAGCTAAACTCTGCAGGATATTGGCCCTCCAAGAGCAGGATTGGACATCCTTGCCATAGCTTAACCCTATTTACTGTCCCTATGTGCCCTTGAATACAGCCTTATGCTGATCCCACACTGATGTGAACTACTACCCAACAATCCAGACTAATGTGCAGGGCTCCAGACTGTGACCATTTTTCTGCCTGTGCGACTGAATTTTGTGTGCGGTCGCACTGGTGCGACCACCGCGTTGTTCAACTCATAAGCGCTGCCATTTCTGTTGCATATGTGAAAAATCAAATGGCTAACGAAACTGAAAGCATAACGAAACCGCGCTACTCGTTTGAACTGCCCAGAGCTTCGAGTGTAGAGCCTGGTTTATATTTGCCGCGTCAGCACGAGCGTGAAGGTGCGCACAGCTAAAATGATGCGCACATTGAGAAAACGATGGATGGTTTACAAGCTAAAGTAAAGTAAAAGACCGCTTCTTAAACCAGAGAGGGTGAACATGGTGATATTCTTGTGGGAAAAAAAAACATGCAAGCACCGTCACCGTCAGCAAGTTTAGTTTTACTTTTCTTTTTGTTTTCATTTTGAAAAGCTTGTTATCTTTGCTGTTTACCTCACGCTATGCTATGGAGGCTCTCTTTTATTATGTTTTTTTTTATTTGATTCCTCAGTGTTTGCTAAACTTTCTGTAATTTATTAGTCGTTATATAATACAGCATGTTTGCCATGCCTCGTCTTATTCGTTTTTGTTAATAAATGTTTTGTAAGCTAGTTTGTCATTGTATCCTACTGTTTTATTGTTGTTGTGCTTTTTAATTAAGAATAACAATGAATCCATATTTTGTTTTAGTCTTAAAAAGTGAAAGGTGTGTAGATGTATGTAAGCAAAACAGACAATTATCTTTTCTCGTAAAACGTGACAACAAGATCGCGAATTCGAAAGTGAAAGCATCCGAAGCCCGGCTTATAACATAGCAAAAGAGGAACTCCCCTTCACAAAATTCAAATCACAGATAATACTACTGATTAGGGCTGTCAAATGACTGAAAAACGAAATTCGAATTTTCTTCTTAAATATTATCAAAATTCGAATTATCAATATCGTGCATATTCATTACCGTGATATATCGCATTACCGAATACCAGCACAAGTCTACTTGAGACATGTTTTTTAAAAGTTGAACTTACATTAATTTTACATGGCTTTCTAAACATGCCGCTCTCTGCGAGACGCGAGTGCAATGCTGATAGATGTCCCTCTAGAAAATGTGATAAATATGCGTTCTGTGTGAACGGCTTGGTTTCAGTTTTGACGTAAACAACATCTTCTCCACACTGATGCTCTCGTTTTCCGCAATATATTGAATGAACAACGTAGCAGCACCGCATCTAGTGGTTTCAACTGGATAGGCTAACAAAAGCATTAAATGCAATGACACTTACATCGTCGTTGCATTTCGTGCGCCACTGATAAGGCTGCCTGACGGCTGACGCAGACCTAAAATTGCTGTGGATTTTTTTATTTTTTATTCCACGAATATTCGAAATTCGATTCTTTTTTTTTGACGGCCCTACTACTGATGAAAAAGAACGGGTTGAATGTTAACCACTTTCGTTTCCATATAACTATAAACATTGATAAAAGTCCACCAGCATCCACTGATTAATCCCATGTTGTAGCGGGAAAAAATTAAATAAATTACGACCAAATCATGTGCTTGTGCGACCAACTGAGAAAGTTAGTCGCAAAAGAGCGACCAGTGGGAAGAATGAGTCTAGAGCCCTGATGTGTGAACTTGGTGGAGGACTGCAAGCGTTTAGGATGGCATTTGGGACAAGGGGCCCTTTCATACACCCGGCGCAATGCGGCGCAAGTGTTTTTGCTAGTTTCAGCCCGACTCAGTTCTCATTTTCCCATCCTGCGGCGCGTTGTTTAAATAGCAAATGCATTTGCGCCCATTTGTGCGCCCATGGGCGTGCTGGTCTGAAAAAGAGGTGTGTTCAGGTGCATTGTTGGCGAGTTGCTATTTTGAGGAACTGAAAATAGACTGCGCCATAGACCAACTCAAACCTGGTCTAAAGTCTGGCGCAATATTTTTTCTTTGTTATTTAAAGAGCGCGCTAGTAATATGCGCCTATAGGTGGGTGCCCAACGTGCGTACACTTTGCTTATTACACACACAGGGATGCGCAGAAGCACACAAACATTTTTTAAAAGGAAAAATTACATTCCGCCATGTAAATAGCGAACCCACCATGGCGTGAGCGCAACTGGCTTTTAAAGGGGATGGGAGATGAGACTCTGATTGGTTTATTGCACGTTACGCCCAAAAACACCCATTACTCATTAAGAGAATAGGGACAACCCGTTTAGACCATGCGCCTGGACGCGCCGACCGTTTTCCCATCGTTAAACTAGCAAAAGTGGATTCGGACACGCCCTGAGTGCACCTGCGCCGTGCGCTTTAGACCATGCGCTTAGATCGTTAAAATAGGGCCCAAGGCCCATGAGTCCATCTCTGACAAAGGAGGACAGCAGCTACAGTTTCTTACTCGGTCTGTCTGCATTACCTTTCATGTATTTTTGCAAATGTCATTGATTCTGTGAATCGACAGAATTTGAAGCAAAGCTTCTATACAGTTTCCAGGAATTGAGGTGCACAGGCTTTTATCAGTTTCCTGGGAAGCAAGGCTTTCTTTATAGGGTATCAAACTGATATAATAAATGCTTCTGAGTAACAGCTTGTTGCTGGGATTGTCAAAGTTTGCAGGGTTATGGCATCAGATCTTTGAAAAATATTTAACAGTTGTGTTTTAGACTAGCAAGTAAACAAGATTCTTAAGCAGCCCTAAAGACCTTGAAAGACCTCTTGCTTTTTTTAAGTTTTGTAAAAAAAGCAACTCTGTGGTGGCTGATGATCCCTTTTCTAAATGAAACTGAATGCAGGGGTCTTCAAATCTGCAAGGATCTGTCCTTTCTGAAAGGCCCCTAGGTAGATGTTTTTTGGCTAGAATACGCTTCAAAATGGACCAGACTTTACACTAGTAGTCAAAAATCTGGGTCCATAAGACCAGCCAATATATAAACGATTAAGTAATCTCTTTTACATCCTGTAATTTGTATAGATAGTAAGGAGTTCAAGTGAAAGTGTCAGTTACATTAAAGGTGGATCTACTTTTGACTAGGTGCATATGAGGTACATAACTAGCAGATTTACTTTCCTCAGTCATGCATCAAAGGTCATAAGAAATGACCACATGCATGACTGAACTGCTGGAGACTGCACTTAGGAGTGCTTGTGTGCAGAGTATGTCGGCATGCACTCTTGCAAATAGGCGTAGTGAGGACTCTTCACATAATGAAGGCCTCTCGTACGGCAGCTACTTCTTGTATACTTCAGCAGAGACCTCTCATGCTTTGAGAAACCTTTAAAGGGGTCATATGATGCTGCTAAAAAGAACATTATTGGGGGCGTGTTCGAACGAGCCGTTTTAGGTAGGTGTGGCTAACTCTTAACTTTTATAAAGAATATCTCTTTGGATTTGAGACTTTAGTCTTTGCAACTTTACAGATCTTCTTTATGCACCAAGAGCTTGTAACACTCTAAAGAGAAAGGAAAAAATGAAATCGCATCATATGACCCCTTTAACAATCTTTCAGCAAGAAGGAGAGCTCATCATCCTTCCACCTCTTTGTGTAAATGCTGCCTTCTCTAGGCATAATCCGAAGGTTGGAAGGTCTCAAGGCACATCCAAATCAAATGTTCACTAACAACCTGTCTAAAAAGATGCACCAATCTAGTTGATTTCTGAAGTGCCTTGGAAGACCAGTTTCCTTGAGATGTAACTTACAGAAAACACAACCTATTAAGTTGATAAAGCAGCTTTTGATTTCAGACACAGCAAGGATGCAGTGCCCCATCCAAATAATTGAATTATCTGGGTTTATTGGTGTTGTGGCGTTACGGGTAAAGAGGATTGAGCAGTTGGGTCATAGGTCTCTATGATGGATCAGGAATCATTGGGAACTTGTTCCAAGACTGCATTGTACCAGAACCTGCAATGCCAATCTATCTCTGTTTCTACTTTAGTATCAAAAACTAAAGATTTGCTCAGAGCAATTCTATGTACCTCGACCAAGGTCAGAGGAGCGACAGAGACAGCAGGATGTAGGTCTCTGAAAGATGTCAGAGAGGAAGAGAAGCATGGGGCGCAGCCAGAAGGTAGAGATAGTTCAGAGAGTATTGATGGATAAGGTATGTGTGTGTTGTCTGTTGATTGGTGAGCTCCATCTCCAGTGCTCTGTCAGCTCAGGTGAATTGATTAATCGGAAGAGCTGTCAGATTTACTAACGAGGTGTGGTAAAAATAGAGCTGAATTAATCATAGTGGGGACACACATGGCTCACCGTCCTCTGGATAGAGACGATTCCGACGTCTTTACCTGCAGAGAGGTGAGCATGCAGACGTTCGAGAGAGGGACAGCTGAGCACTCACCTGAGAAACAGAGATGGACGTGTCTTCACCCGAGAGCAGTAAAGTGTCACCGAGGTCATAGTTCCTTATGAGAGTGTCTTTTATTTGCCGTGGGCCTGCAGACAGTTATTTATTAACCCTTTAGGCGCCAGGGTTTTTTGGAAAAATGCTGGATTTTGACATCAAAATTTCAAAAGCTTGTGGCTTGAAAGGGCTTAAAGATAGAGATCTAATGTAAATTAGAAAAATGTTGGGCATGACCGAAAGTTTATGTGGGGTGTAGATATACTCATCTAATTTGCATATTATGACGTCATCAGGGGGCGGCCCTCTTGAATGTCATAATATTCAGGAAATAATAGATATTAAATGGATGTTTGCTTTTTATCCTTATTCCAAATGATCAGGAAAAGAGGAAATCAACAGTAAAACAACGTTTGCAACACATCCTCACGGGACAACTTTTAATAGCCATTTGGCGATTTTCTCTCACAAATCTCACAGCTTACCCGCACGCTATGAACTGAACTGCTTCCGCAGTCAATGACAGATAGCTCACATGCTCTGCTCTTTCCTCAAACACTTTGAATAGGAAGGTGACGTAATTTTGGTCTAGAATCGAAGTACTACATGTCTGCCATCTAGTGGTAGGGAATACAAATGCGATATTACACCATATTAGGAACTACAGTCTATTTGATTAAGTATGACGTCTTGTCGCAATTTTGCAACTTTGGCGCTAAGAGGGTTAACTCGCCAAAGTTGTTTTTTTTTTTTTAAGTGACAGTAGAGAAGAAACAGGAAATAGACAGGAAATTAGGATGGATTGGATTGGGACGGGACCATAATTGAACCTGCATGAGCACCACAGCTCAACATGTCTTAAAGTCACCTTGAAATCAAAATGGACAATTCTTATTTTTCTATGAAATATTGCAGTATTTATTATAAATGACTTAACTGTGCACATCATAATTTTTTTGTAAAATTGATGCACACTTTAATCTAAAAAAACTTCCCCTTCTTGCAATCATATCTCTTCTCTGATTATGTGTGCACTAGTGCAAGGGCGGGAAAACCTGTCACTCACATGAGATCGCACCAATGGCAAACGACACCGATTCAATCAATTCTCAACAAACTATATTTTTTCATGTTCTAGAAGCCGTTTCACTTGGATGTACGTCATAATAGAGAAGAAAAGACTTGTAACTTCTGTTTCATGGCGACTTTAATAGTGGCTGGCTTTTCTGTATTTACAGTGAGTACAAGTAAGACACCTAATTCACTACATGATGTACTGCATTCAAAATCTGGTAACTGTGCAGACGTGCCCAGAACATCTGTGAACATCTGATTCTTTCAGGATACTTTACTGAGTCTCTTCTAACTGAAACTTTTTTAACTTCCTGTTTACAGCGGACATGATTAGTGCATTGCTAATTGCAGTAGGAAAGCAGTGCTGCATTAACACTAAAAAAGTATTACGTTTGAGAGAGGCGGGGCATAGAGGACCTACAATAATGTACAGTATTTGAAAAATAATGTGTTTTTTGAACATTAAAGCATGTCAACATATTCTGTTACACCAAATACACAAAATAATGATCTTTAAAAAAGCATCAATGACCCCTTTAATAATACATTAAATAATGATGATTACTTGAAGTACTACGAAACACCTCACTAAACTTGATTGCAGGTGGTAAATGAACAACATGCTGTTTTTATGCACTGAAATACTGTATAAAGGAGGTGTAAAATGGTTAATAAATTCATCCCTATATATTCCAAAGCCTTGTCTGCTTAGTTGCCCTTACGAAAATTAACCATGGTTTTATTATAGTAAACGTATAGTAACCATGTTTTTTTTGGCATATTCATTACATTTGTATAACCACAGTTTTACTACAAATATCATGGTTAAACTATGGTTAGTGTAGCAAAACCATGCTTAATTTGTGGTTACCGTGTTTTAACTACAGTAACCATGTGTTTTTGGTTTTATTTGTAGTAAAACCATGGTTAATTTTCGTAAGGGTGAGCATGGCTAGTAGTTGCATCCATGCACTTCACCACAGTTTTAAAGTTTTCAACCTCTTTTCAAGTTGAAACCTCTACTAAATCAGTAAACACAGACACACGTTAACATACTTGTTCGGGTTGTGAAAGGCTGTGCAGCCCAACCCACTTACACACTCATCGATCACACAATCGATCACAGTTTCAGAAGATGCTCCACTCAGATTCAGCATTATTCCGTCACTTTCCTTTGTTCGCGAATGCTTGTGCATGTGTGTACTCACTTACATAAACAAACTACCCAGGTTGAAATCCCAAACTCATCTCTGTCTTAAAGCACCTCTCCCCAAACCCCCAATCTTCACACACCAGCGGTTTCCCTGGCAACTGGATTAAAGAGCTCTGCATCTTTGTGTTCAGCATATTCTTCTTTTAGTCACTGCTCTCCGTGTCTCTTTCTCCCTCTCTCTTTCTTTCTTTTTCTCTATTTGTTGCTCTTTTGTGGGCATTACACCATGATAGTCAGATGGATAGATGGATTAAGAGATGACAGATCATATACAGTTGATAGATCATTGCTTCATGAGAAAACGTAGATGCAAAACAACAACATAATTAACACAGAAAGCCCAAAATATACAAATAAGCTTCAGAAAACCAGTCCTGAGCCAAACTGAGAAAAGAGATTTTGCTAAATCATTTCAGTTTTCCTGACACATGAGCTTGTCCTTGTTTAGTAAGACCCATTGTGGGAAACATGGTGCTCATGCAGGCAATACAAGTTCAAGTCTGGCTTGCATTATCTCCTAAACCCATTCGTTGTAACAGGCGACTGATTTTCAACTTAGCTGCGCTAGTAGTTTGCATCTTGTATCACCTCTGTCTTCTCACATAATAACAATTTATACCTAAATGAACATGAAACATTAATTTGTTCATGTATTTTGTATATAAACATGCAGTACTAAGTGGAAGAATGTACTTGTTTGTTTGTCAAAATCAAAATGAAATGTGCCCACATCTGTCTTGCTAGTTGCAGTACCAGAGGCAGCCACTAGTGTGTGCTGCACTTCAGAATTCAAACATGGTTTGCTCAAAAGTTTTGTGCATGTCTGTTCAAATTTGCTTTCTCTCCAGAGATTTTACACCATATAGGAATACAAATATACGTTTATATAGGAAACTGGTACTTGAAACCTAGCCACTGTGCTAATCCACCTGTTTTGTAGCCTAAAAAAAGTGCTGTCAAAGTTGAATCCTCTGTGAGCCGTCACCCCTGTGAATGCAGAAGCGAATAAAACCGCAGGAGTCCTGTGAAAGAAGAGACATTTCTTCTTTAACTGTCATTCCTGTTGTGGGTGGAGTGTGTGGGGATGTATTTTGACAGCTTTCTGGTACCTCAGGCATTGTGTTGCTCTTTCTCTTTCCTGCACTCTGTCACATTGCGTTTTTTTCCCCTCTCTCGCTCCCCGTTTCTCTCCTGCTGTTGGGACCGAACCTACAATAACGGTTGTTGTTGTTTGTGTGTTTCACCCACAGGCTCGGAGGCATAATCTCTGCATACAAAATAGTCCCTGATGAGATCGACGAGATCAAGGTAACGCTTCCTCTCACCCCTTCAGTGAGGCCATGAGGCACACGTGCACGTCCATACACACCTTTGCACACTGCTGCCTAGAGGCCAATATTAGTGCTGCACTCGTAGTGATAATATGCTTTACTTGAAGTTTATCTGAGCTCACGTATGGAAAAATGTAATGAAAGTGTGTAAAAGTATGTAAAACTTAGAAATATCATTGCAAAAGAAAACACAAGCACACTTTTTAAACCAAAACAATAGTTAAGAATGCTGTGAGGTTTTAAAATGATATAACAAATATTAGTGGATCATGTTCATAGTTAATGAACATGTGGTTTCTCTGATGAACTTCATACATCCACTAAAAATCACCTAGGTGGACTAGTTGGTTAAAAGTCTATTGCTGCAATGATGCAACGACTTACATGTGCATATACTTTTTGGAGCCACTGTACATGATATTTTTTGCTGGTAACAGCAGTTTATAAAATTTGATATTTGATTTATCAGGCCAGACTATATGCCCGAAATAGCTGATGTGATGTTGCATCACTAGATTGAGGGCGACTGCTCATATGGTGCACAAACACACACACGCAAATGTACCTTTCTGCACTATACAAAATTACTGCTGAACATTTTATGGTGATATTCTGTGTGTTTGTGTGCATCAAAGGAGACGCTGGTGGACTGGTGCGATGAGAAGGAGCTCAACTTGATCCTGACCACCGGTGGAACGGGTTTTGCACCCCGTGATGTCACGCCTGAGGTACATGGGAGCCCACCTGTTTGTGTTTGTGTCCATGTGAGTGTGTGTTTCTGCCCCCACCCCCATGCGTTCTTGTTTTCTGAGTCTGACTGTGAGTGAGAGAGAAATTGTGGTTTTTATTTTTGTGCATTGTGTATGTTTGCATACAATTTATTTTTCCATTCACATGCATGCTGTTTGGTTGATGACAAACAGTTCTTGGAAAATGTGTTTACAGTGACTTTTTTATATATTTATATATACAGAGTCATTTTATATATTATGAATAAATATTATATACATTACTGTTTGGGGTCAGTAAGTTTTTTTTGGAAAGAAATTCATTCTAATATTCAGCAAGGACGGATTAAATTTATCAAAAGTGACAGTAAGGACATTTATCTTTATGTTACAAGTTACAAAATTTCCATTTCAAATAAATGCTGTTCTTTTGAATTTTATCTTCATCAAAGAATCCTGAAAAAAAAATCTAAATTTCCTCAAAAATATTAAGCAGCACAACTGTTTTCAACATTAATAATAATAATTAAAAAAAATGTCACTTGAGCACCAAATCAGCATATTTGAATGTTTTCTGAGGGATCGTGTGACACTGAAGACTGAAGTAATGGCTGTGGAAAAATTCAGCTTTTCATTACAGGATTAAACGACATTTTAAAAATGGTTTAAAAAATGTTACTAAAATAGAAAATTATTTCTAATATAGCTAATGCTAAAGATGAATATTGCTTCAGAATAAGCCATATTTGCAAAAAAAAAACACACACACACACACACACACACACACACATAAGCCTCCTTTTTACTAATGTGAGTGTTTGAAGTGTCATTCAATTCAAGGGCACAGTGCGTCACATCGGAGAAAAATCCCCTCCCTGCTGCGCACTTTTCTTCTGACTTTGCGTGTGTTCTTGAATGTGTTTGTTTGAATATGACTGTGTGCGGGTGTGTGTGTGTTCCACCGGGATGGGACGGTGGAGGTGGAGGGACGCGTGTCCCAGGGGATGCTGGGAAGGGTTCAGTGAACGGGGATTTCAGATGGAAGAGTAGAAGGCCCACTGGAAATGTGTTTGTAATGAAAAATCTCAGTGACGGGGCTGTGCTTATGTCATGAGTATTGTGCTAATGCCACTGCTGTGAAGAACAATTGGCTCTAATCGATGAATTAGCTTAGCCTGTTAGCATGCATGAGGACAAATCATGAAAAATTATGTTAAGCAGGGTCCTTATGTTTTGTGGTTTTGTTTTTACATTTTGTCTTAAAGTTTTTACAGTTTACATTACAGTCTTAAAGGGATAGGGTTACCTGGAAGTGAAAATGGTCATAATTCTCATCCTCATTTCTCAAAGTAGTATCTTTTGTGTACCACCGTCTAAAGAAAGTTTAAAAACTAAAAAAAACTAAACTAAAAAAAAAATGAAACAGAATCCTGCCAGTCAGACAGCACTCATGTACTAAATCTGTACTGTAGAAAGACTGCCTTTTTCCTCTTATTATCGATTGGTACTGGTACTTTTGACATCCATAAAAGATAAGATTGATGGTTTATGCACCTGTTGTTGCTTATATATGTGTGTGTTGTCTCGTCTGCAGGCCACCAGAGAGGTGATCGAGCGTGAAGCTCCAGGGATGGCCCTAGCAATGATAATTCTAATTATAAAATTCTTATTACATATAAATTACAGTATAAATATAAATACATATTTCAGGATTTTTTTGCACACCCAAATGATAAATGCCCTGATTAAATCAAATAAAAAATATTTTTCTGTTCCATGGAAAAACTCATATTTTAGAACAACATGAGGATGAATAAACAATGACAATAAGTTTAACATGAGGACACGCCCCTCCCCTTCCTTCACCTCTCACATATACGTTCACCCTCGTTTACCGTGTTAACATTGTGGCCAATCCTATTACAGCTCCTTCCCGTGGAGCTCTGCTGATAGGGCTGTGGTATTAATCTCCATTACCCATCAGCAGGCCACCAGAGAGGTGATCGAGCGTGAAGCTCCAGGGATGGCCCTAGCAATGCTCATGGGCTCCCTAAATGTCACGCCACTCGGCATGCTGTCCAGGTGAATGCACATGCACAGACATGTCCTCTCATCTCACTCCTTTGCTCTGCCTGTCACTCTCAAATGCACAAGAGTAAAAGATGTGTTTTGAATACTAATTGGATTAAATACTAATCATCTCCTTCCTGTAGACCCGTATGTGGAATCAGAGGCAAAACCCTCATCATTAATTTACCCGGGAGCAAGAAGGGCTCACAGGTAAGCTGTTTGTCTATGTGTGTGTGTGTGTGTCTGTCTAATGGTGCTTATATATTCTGATCATTTCCTCGTCTTCAATTATTCTGAACTTACCACAAAGTATATCATATGTATATAGTCACCAGAATTTTTTTTCTCACTCTCACTCTCACACACACACACACATATGAATTTTCTTATATTGTTTATACATTTTTATTTATCTCTACTCTGTCATTTATGAATTAAGCAAATTATAATTTAAATAATTAGAATGATGTATATATATAGTATATATATATATATATATATATATATATATATTTACATGAAACAAAAGAGATTTTTTATTAAATTTTTTATTTAATTTATAATTCTAATTATAAAATTCTTATTACATATAAATTACAGTATAAATATAAATACATATTTCAGGATTTTTTTGCACACCCAAATGATAAATGCCCTGATTAAATCAAATAAAAAATATTTTTCTGTTCCATGGAAAAACTCATATTTTAGAACAACATGAGGATGAATAAACAATGACAATAAGTTTAACATGAGGACACGCCCCTCCCCTTCCTTCACCTCTCACATATACGTTCACCCTCGTTTACCGTGTTAACATTGTGGCCAATCCTATTACAGCTCCTTCCCGTGGAGCTCTGCTGATAGGGCTGTGGTATTAATCTCCATTACCCATCAGCCCCAGCCAAGGAGCACTTCGCTGTCACTGCTGCTTTGAAGTCCAGAAGCCGAGCCGATAAGGGGATTAAACTTTGAAGAACCCCTTTATGCTCGGTCCAGCTCAGCTACAGCACTCCCTTCCTAAATAAAAGCATCCCTCCATCCCACATCCACGTCCTATTAAAGCAGCCTCCTCACAGCCACGGCTCCTCCTGTATGACAGCGACTGCTTCTGGACTGAGTTTGCCCTTCTTGCTTTTAAAAAGAAGACAGACCCAGGTCACAATGCCACAGGTTTGGGAGACTCTGATCCACAGAGATTCTGCAAAACCTTTAGATCGCTGCTGTTTTCAGTGAGAGTTTTGAAACAGGCAGATTGTTAACATTTAAAGGTGACATATCATGAAAATCTGACTTTTCCAGGTTTTAAGTGCTATAATCAGGTCCCCAGTGCATCTACCAACCAATGAAACGTGAAAAAGATTAACCCAGTCACTTTGTTTTGGTAAGCCTTTTTCTGCAAGCGTCTGAGAAAACGAGCGCGTTTGATTTTGCTCACTTGGTGACGTGGCAAAGGGATCTCATTATAATATTACCGCCCCTTAATCTGTAAGTTTACGCCAATGGCGCCGTTATTGTGTTTTTGCAAGCGACAACGGTGTACCAGTTCTAATGCCATGGCGAAAGTTTGAGCAAAACATGATGATTTCAGCGCGATAAACATGATAATCAGAACCAAAACAGATGTTTTTTAGCAGATACGAGCTGTAATGGCGCAGCTCTATTCTGGAAAAGGGGGCGGGGAGCAGCAGCTCATTTGCATTTAAAGACACAGGCCCGAAAAACAGCGTGTTTCTGCTTCCACTCAAAATAGGCATTTTTAAAATTAGTATAATAAATAATCTGTGGAGTATTTTGAGCTGAAACTTCACAGACTCATTCTGGGGACACCAGAGACTTATATTACATATTGTAAAAAGGGGCATAATATGTCACCTTTAAGTAAATACTGAGTGAATACGAAATGGGGAAGTACCACAGACCTCAGCACATCTGAGAAAATGGGATGTGTGTTCCCAGTGTTTCAGTTTGCACTAGAATGTCACCTGGAAACACACAAACACAATTGTCAAAGGGCTATGAATTGCTAAAATAGACATAATGGGTGTTTCTTTAACCTTGGGCACTTTCTGAAAGTCCTGAATATTTCTACCATATCTATAACGATGCACTGGGTTAAGCAGAATTTTGTGACAAATAAATAAATGAATATAATGGTCGACCCTTTTGTCTTGCTTAAATTTAGCTGATGTAGCTAGCATTTTATGTATCTTAAGTACACACCAGTATATCACATTTTCCCAATTTAATTTGACAAAATTATAGCTTAATTGGAAATTACACAATATTTACTTTGATTTTTGTTTTCTCCCATATTTCCCATGTCTCATATTTCAATTTTTTAATTGAACGATTTTTTAAGTTCAACAATCAGGTAGTGGAAGTAAAAATCCCATTTATTTTCTCCATAGGGGATTTTAACTTAAAAACTTTTAAAGACAGACCTACTGTCTTCGTTGTTAAAAATGGTATATGCTTTTGTTAAAGTCATTAGTTCACATTATTTCAACTTATTTTATAAATAATCGTGTTTAACAGCAGAATTCCAGGTTAAAAATGACATTATCCGTGATTACAAAAGAAAAATCTCCACCAATAAAAGAATTGTGGTGAGAAAATCATGGCAAAACAACACTTTAGTGCCCACTCCCATGAAACACTGTGAATGACGTAATAGTCAGTCTCTCAATGCTCTCAGTTATATACAGTATGCATATTTTGAAATAAACAACTTAAATTGTTTCTATATTTATGTTTGTAATTTGATTGCCATTCGTAATGCTTTTTGGGATTTTTGTTCTTTTCCTCTTTAAAGCTGTCAAGTACATAGTCTTTTATTTTTGTCTTTTTGCCTGATTTTCTAAAAACAATTTTTTTTGCTTCAAATCAAAAAGTGGGACAGTAGCAATCTTTGAAAAAGTCAATAGAAATAATTTTCATACTAAATTATAAAAGTGTAAGATTATTTTCCCTCTTTATTTAGATTATCATTATCATTTATGTTTTTATGATGAATTTTTGTTTCTTTTTTTTGTTGTAAAAAATGTAAGAAGTTTCCAAAACTGCTTTAATGTGACAAAAAGCCAAAAAGTTGCCCGAAGTTGAAGAAACACCTGTATGTTTTAGTTTGGAACACACATCAATGGTACATCTTAAATTATGTTCATTAGATGCATTGCTCTTTGATCTGTTGAGCACACAAAATAGAAACCAAGCAACCAAAAAAATGTCTTTTGCTTTGCTTTATGAAGTCAAGCACAGTTAGGGCACTGTGTTGGTGTCCAGTTGTTTTGTAATGTCTTAGCTCTGAAAAAGGGCTACATTGTAGGAATTTCTACTGTTGTCTCGAGGAAACTGGACATGAAATGTGTCCATCTGCTTTTACAGTGATGTGGCTTCACATCACATATTGGCATGTTCCTGTCTGGTCAGCATGTCTGAGTTGCCCATCACTCTTTCTTTGAGCTCAGGTGCCATTATTTCTACAGAGCAGCATGCTCTGATCTGGAGGGTCAGCGCACACACATGTGCCTCACCTTGCACCAGGAAGATAAAAATAGACCACCCCTACATGCACCAAGAGGACATGAAGTAGCCTATGGACTGCTGATGTCTCCACACATTAATCTTCGTTTTAACTCTGAGTCACCAAAACGGAGAGATGCAACCACATCAGACCTGCGGGGGGGAACACTCCACCGCATCAACCCTCCCTGGACCGGTCTCCATCCCCGCTGCTGTGCTGTCTTTTCCTTCATTATTATTAATGTCTCTTGTCAGAAGTACTTAAGAAATGCAGTTTAAGAGCAGTCGAGTTTGGCCTCCTGTGTTAAGTTCACACGGCGTGTCCTTATCGGACTTCAGCCCCTCAAAATGGAGGATGTTCAACTGTATTAGAAATTCCATTAAGTTAGTGTCAATAGGTTGGCCTGTATGCCATCCTATTAAGGAATTCGGATAGATAGTGGCCTGTTACATTGGAGGAGAACAAGAGGGATTTACGCAGTAAACATTACAGCTAAACGGTACACTCGAAGCTTTAGGAACTAGCGAATGTTGAGATACAACAGATTCATTCGTTTTTTTGTAATTCCACTGTTCAAATCTTGAAGGATTAGCTCAGATTAGATATTATTTAAGCACCAGAATGTGTTAAATATTGTATAAAATGGATAAAAATACTACTTCAGTCAGGCATTTATGTTAGCTTGTGTGCTGTTTTTTTTAATAACATATAATTTTAAAAATAATGTAATTTTTAACATTTGTATTTAACATCATGTAATTTCATTATATCATGAAATGTTATTTTTGTAATTGTTAAAATTATATTTTATTCATTATACTGCATCACACAAAATAATAAGTCAAGTCAAGTCTGCTTTGTCAATTCTTCCACATGTACAGCACATACACACAGAGAATTGAAATTGCGTTACTCTCAGACCCTTGGTGCATACAGATAACACTAACAGTAGAACATAAATACAGATAATAATAATAACAGGATGAAATCATTTATTTTAGCAAATTAGCATTTTTAATCTTAATTCTATTCATCTAAATTTTATATTCTAGTAATTTTATTTATCTAAGTGTATTTATTTATGTAAATTATTAATATATGCTATTTGCTTTTTTGATGTTTTGTTTTGTTTTGTTACTGAGAGTTAAGGCCTGTTCACACCAAGGAAGGACGATAACGATAAAGATATAGTTCTAAAAATCTTTCTAAATATTAAAGCATAGCAGAGTCCACACCACAGCTATAACGATAAAGGCACAGAGAAACGATATCGTTGGAATCATTTTCAGAACAATTTTTTTCAGCTGATGAATGATAAAAACATTGACAGCCAATCAGAATCAATCCTGCTATAACGAACTCGAGAATTTAAAGCGGCAGACGAGTGTGTGCTTGGAATAAACAGATGATATCGTCCGCTGGTGTGGACGCTAATATACAGTAGTTATCTTTATACAGTAGTTATCTTTATAGTTATCGTTCTTGGTGTGAACGGGCCTTTACTGGCTCTTTTCCATAAATAAAAAAGCTGCCTACTGCCTAGTAGTAACTGCCATTTAAGGCAGCATGTTACTAAGCTAACAATGTGATACTCATAATAAATATAAACATAATTTTCTCTGAGCTTGTCATGATTTTGTCTCTGTAGAATTGAGCTTGAGCATGTCTAAAAGATCGTTTCACCGCTTCATTCTTTCATCTGCATCTCTGTCTTTTCTCAGGAGTGCTTCCAGTTCATCCTGCCTGCTCTGCCGCACGCCATCGACCTGCTGCGGGATGCCATAGTGAAGGTGAAGGAGGTACACGACGCTCTAGAGGACCTGCCGTCCCCTCCACCACCCCTCTCCCCTCCACCCACCACCAGCCCACACAAGCAGACAGAAGACAAGGGTGTGCAGTGTGAGGAAGAGGACGAGGAGAAGAAGGACAGTGGTGTGGCGTCCACAGAGGACAGTGGCTCCTCTCACATCATAGCAGCTGCCATTGCTGCTAAGGTGAGCGTCATTATTAATAATAATAATAATAATAATAATAATAATAATAATAATAGTAGTAGTAATGTAATTCCATGTGATTTCATGTTTCCCAAACTAAACTGGAATAGGAGAAAGTATTTTGACATTGAAAAAATAACACTCTGCCCCTTTAAGGCTCTCTTTCATTGTCTCTTGCCCTTGATGTTCCATTAAATCATCTTTAGTGTTTTGTGTGTGCACGTGTTAAATCTCTTGTCATGTTTATGCATCTCATGTTCATCATCAGAGCATGATGTCTCATCCCAGTCATGCCGTTGTCATGGCGAAAGGTGGGCAGCCCTTGAGTGGCTTCATCCCTTCTACCTCCATTCCCTCCCATTTCACCTGCTCCTGCAGCGATACGGTAAGCCACACCCACTTTTCCATCCACATTCACCTCTCCTGCCATTCCATTGGCCCTTTTGAACATCCAGTTTCAAAACCAACCAATCAGAGAAATTAAATGTCATCGCAAGTTATTATTGTTTGATTTGCTGCACCACTATTACTATTGCTTGAAAATAAAACAGGAAAAAAATCCTATAGGGGCCGTTCACACAGAACGCGTCTTTGCGTCTAAAAATGTAAAATTTCATTTAAAGAAAAATAAAATCATAATCTTCATTATTCTGAATGTTACACAAAATGATTATACTTTAAAGCTATATATATATATATATATATAGTGGCCAAAATATCATAGACTTGGCACCTCCAGGTCTAGTTTTGTTTGACTTTGCCAGTAAGTAACACCCTGGCAACCACCCACAACACGGACGAGCAAGACTTACTTTCTTTCTATAGCTTTCTATTGTGCGTTGTATCAGTTTATTCTCTAGCAAGCAATATTTGTCTTGTTGTTCAGCCATGCCAGGTCTTGTAAAGTTTTTTTCCCCTGATACCAGAGGATTGAGTATATATCCTGTATTAGCTGTCTTTATATAGTAATTATAATGGGGTCACGCAGGTTGGCATTACTGTGCTCTCCACAGGGAGCGCTCGTAGCTCGAGTCTCAGGGGAAGACAGAGGTTGAGTCGAGTGCTATTATTAGTGCAGGGTTAGCTTCTGTGCTGGGTAATTAAAGCGCTTGTGGAGCTGCTCTTTCCTGTGAGGCCTTGATTTAGCCTCAGTGTTAATTAGTGCTCCGTTAAGCCCCAGCGTTCTTGTGGAAGATCCCTGCGCTATTCACCTTTCTGCACATCAGACTCCCGCTTATTCCCACCACAGTTCTCCCAGACAGCGTAGCTGCAGTTTGTTACTGCACGAAGACTCGCCTGCTGGATCAAAGGTAGCGAGTCTCAGTCTGAATACAGTAACAAATATCACTCTGTATAGATAATGGTGTTTCAAATATTTGTCTGTGGAGGTTCATTGATACTTTCTGTCGACATCGTGTGGGCTGTACTGCTTCTGTAGTAGGCAAAAGTCCATGTTAGTCAAGGTTAATGTATTGTTACATGATTATTTACCACCCCCCTCTTTGATGCTGTTGTACCTTTGAGAGTTCTAAATGTAAATATTAGGGGTGCTCCGATTGATCGGCTACCGATCACTATCGGCCGATAATCGCTTTGGGATGATTGATCGGCGGTCTCTAAAAAGGCCGATCTCAAAAAAACGATCTCAAGCTGATGACGCACCTGCCGTGAGAAGGTTGGCACGACATGCAGCGGCACCGTCTCAGTCTCTGTCTGGCGCGGGTAGAATTGTCACTTGCACTATCGAGGCAGTGTCACATCGTCACTAAAGTTTATAAATTGCATTACTTTTTAATTCTTGCCAGTGTTTAACCATTCAGCGCTCGCGCGCTCTCCTGGAGACCGTGCACTCATGCACACTCGCACTCGCAGCGCACACACATAATGCCAGGTTCACATTACTCCGTTTGCAGTGCGAATGTGGTGCGTATTTTTTCCGCGCTCATGTTAACGGATTAATAAAGCGTTCACACACTGCACACGGCTGCGGTCCGGCAGTGCGTTCCAGGAGTGGTGCGTCTGCAGCAGAGCAGAGATTGTTTCCACACCGAGTCTATTTTTGCTGCGCTGCAAGTGATGAATTAAAGTAACAGCGCATTTTTTGCAGTAAATATGAATTATTGTGAAATATTATTGCAATTTGAAAATTGTTTTCTATTTTAAAACATTTTAAAATGTAATTTATTCCTGTGATGACGATTACTCCAGTCTTCAGTGTCACAAGATCCTTCAGAAATCATTCTAATATGCTGATTTAATGCTTAAGAAACATTTCTTATTATTATCAATGTAGAAAACCGTTGTACTGCTTAATATTTTTGTGGGAACAGTGATATATTTTTTGAGGATTCTTTGAAGAATGCAACGTTCAAAAGTACAGCATTTATTTGAAATGAAATGAAATCTTTTGTAACATAAATGCATTTACTGTTACTTTTGAGCTTTTAATGTATTCTTGCTAAATAAAGGTATACATTTCTTAGAAAAAAACACTCTTACTGACTCCAATCTTTTGAACGGCACTGTAAGTAAAAATACTGAATATTGCCAGTTCTTAACTGAATTTGACTGTCCCTGTCTTCTATTAACAGATACCAGAGTCCATCATTTCACGAGGCGTGCAGGTGTTGCCGCGGGACACCGCCTCTCTCAGCTCCACGCCCTCGGAGTCTCCTTGTGCTCAGCAGTCCCGCCTCTCCACTGCCTCCTGCCCCACCCCCAAAGTAAGACTCCACCCCTTTCCCCTTTATTCACACCATTCCTTTTCCCCTCAGCTTTCTTTTCCATCATGCACTCCGTATCCTCCATGGCTGGATCCTCATCTGCTGCCACCTCATTGGCTGCTTGACACACTGCTTTGCATTCCAGACAGCAGTGACTCTGCTCATTGGGTCGTGTGAGAGGAGAGGCGGGAACTCTTCACTGGCTGAATTTTAAGTTTGGCCATTTTGATTTTCTTCCAGTAGCATTTAACAGTTTGTTGTTATAGATCCATTGGTGATTAAATGAACACTGTGAGGGCCTTTTAATTCATAACATTAATTCATTATTTTCTTTAAGGTGTTCAGGAGCTGTTTTGGGTGTTCCTTTTGCAACAGTTCGTTTACTCACATTCTGTCAGCCATTTAGTATTTAGTCACTTCATACATTGTCATACATACACTTTCATCTCAACTTTTGACTGAAAAGTGCTGTTGGTATAGCCCACCGAGTTGTTTACTGAACAGAGTCATTCTTTTGTGCTGTTTATAACAAGTTACATGTTGTTGTTGAGTGTGTGACAGTAAGATACTTCGATTTCAACTCTTTCTCAATTGTTTCCTCTTGGGGGGGGGGGAATGTCATGGTATAAATGCGTGTTTTTCCTGTTGTGGCCCTGACGATGCTGACCGTGTCAAAAATGGCATCCTCTGTCTTTGCGCACTTTGGTGACAGAATCCATTTTAGACTGTTTAATAGTACAGTTTGAATCACAAAATGACAGGCGTGACACCCTACACTTTTGTGGACACCATTGACAGACAAAAACAAAGCCAAAAGAACACATTAAGTGCGCAGGGCCAATCGTGCGCCCGTTTAGTTCATGAGACGGTGAGTGCACACGTCATATGTGTGTGTGTGTGTGTGTGTGTGTGTGTGAAATCTGTCAACACGCTGCGAATAAGTGATTAGTGGTGCTTTTTTGTCTCCCTCTAGTGAACACAGTGTGTATTACAACTGTTTTCCTTTAACAGATCAGAGTTTTTGTATGTCTTTGTGTCAGACTTTGGAAAGTTGATACCGCAGAGTACTTTAAGTATATAATGGAAATGTTTAGCCCTCTTTTTATCGTTTCTTTTTTCGGATGTATGTGAAACGCCTGTGATAAGCGGAATTCCAGCAAAGTGCTCTAAGCTTCAGCTTTGACCTCAGGCTGGGTTTTAATTCTGCTGACTGCTGTTTTTTGACAAGTGTCTGGCAGTTTGGCTTTAGTTGCTAAACAAGGGTGTCGGGTGGCACTTAACAGTTAGAGGCTACATACAGTAAAGAACATGCTGAGATGTGTGTATTTGTGTGTGTGTGTGTGTGTGTGTGTGTGCGCTGTTGAGCGGTGCACATATCACATTGAGCATCTGGGAATTCACAGATCTGAAAAAAATAGGCATTGCAGGTTCACAAATGTGTAGAATATTGTGCGTGTGTGTGTGTGAGACACTGTGGTGGGGCCCACATAAAAAGAGCCAAATTTATATGCTCTTGAAAATGGCATTTTAAAGTTGAAATGAAAATATGTTTTCTTAATGCATGATATAGATCTTATTGTAAACGATTCATCCATGCATCTATTTTTTTTCTTTTTTCATTTTTAAAAAAAATACATTTAACTGTAATTTTTTAAATCCAAATGTCATAACTCAATCTTAGAAAAGATCGTTCGCTACCTTGTTTAAAAAAAAATTAAAGCTATTTAAATCTTGCAGTTAAACTGTATGGGAAATGCATATACTGTGTATACAATACATACTGGATTTGAATTCCCATAACTAGTAATTTTCCAAGATAGGCACTTGAGGTGCCAATCAAGTGTTAGTTAGGGGCTTAAGCCCCGTTCACACTAGCAGCGACTTTTGTCGACAGGGGCTGGCGATGAGGTTGCTAGTGGGCATTCTCAATACTGGTTGCCTTAACAGCGAATCAGGTTTCTTGCCGCTAAGTACAAACATTTTGGAGGCAAAAGACTAAATATAATCTAAATCTAAATTAAATTTTAATGGGATTGTGTCGCTTTGCTGTTGCGTGTCGCTTGTAGTGTGAACGGGGCTTTAGGGGCCAATGCTTCACCTGTGAACACCAGTGGAAGTGGCCTTAGCGGAGAAAGAGTCAGTAAATTAACATAAAGGAGAGATGGGAGAGTGTTCTTAGGCTTTGTTGCAATTAGTTTTCTTGTTGTCTGAAAAAAATGATAAAATAAAAATAAATAAATACATAAATAAATAAATCAAAAATCTGAACTGTCAGATTAGATTTCATGTCGATGTAAAAAAAAAAAAAAAGTTTTCCACAAAAAAATATTAAGCAGCTGTGTACAACATTGTTAAGAAGAAATGTTTCTTCAGCACCAAATCGGTATATTAGAATGATATCTAAAGGTTCATGAGACACTGAAGACTGGAGTAAATGAATACAAATAAATAAATTACATTTTAAAATTAATGTATTAAACAGAAAACTTAAATGGTAATGGTACTTTTAAATGGCCTTGGTGAGAATAAGAGACATTTAAAAATATATATATATATATATATTTTTTTTCCCAACCCCAAATTTTTTTTAACTATAATGTGTGTAACGTCATACATAATGTGCGCAATATTGTCTGGAACTGTATCTAAATACATTTTTGTTCACTCTTACATAACAAACTATGTGATGCTCACTATTTAGAGAACGAATCAGCAGTTCTGGACAAATATATGCATGAATGCGTAAAATGTCACTTATGTTCTGGTCAGCAAAATGGCGTGGTAGAGGCTAAATTCCAGTTTTTCTTCCTCTCTTTCCATGCGGACAGCTTGTTCTATGAGAAAGACTTTTAAAATCATGCTAACGCTAAAATGATGCTAAATACTAAATCTTGACCGTCTGAACAAACGAATCACATTTCATCAAAATAACAATCAGGCCCAAATATCGCATGTGAAACAAAATTGGATTTGTTTGCAGTGTAAAAAGAGAGTGTGATTAAAAACCATTCCCTAGCATACATCATCCAAGATGACCAGAGGCAACACACACACACACACACACACACACATGCGCACTGCATTCCCTCAGCACAACGTCCAGCTGTTACATAAGACACTGTTTGGCTGTGAGCTCTCCATGCGCGCTAAATGCAGAGATAATAATGCATAATACGTTTCTACACTCTCTCTCTCCCTCTCTTAACCCACTCCAGATGCTTTGCCTGAGCCGATCTGATTTCAGAAAACACATAGCCGTCAACCCCGTTACGCCGTTTATCCCTCAAATCTGTGGTTGCACTTCCTCCAAATTTAGATCCCAGTGGTTTTTACTCATCCTCCGCTTTGCATGCTGTCTCACTCCACCTCTTTCTCCCCTCCTACACTCTCTCTGGCTTCATGCGTGTAGTGTGTGTGTGCATGTCAGTGTGTGCATGGGCATTCTTCTGTGTGTCGGGATAAAGCATGGTAAGCGCCGTCTTTCTCCACTCTGATGCGTCACTCTGTTTTGTTCTACATGTGTCTGTTTTGGATGTGTGTGCATGAGGGGTGTAGGTCGGTAGGGCTCCAGATTGACTCCAGGGGGGATCGGTGGGGCAGGAGGATTTCAGGGTGCATGATCTACACGTACGGAGCAGCCACTTGGTTTCATAACAGCTGCAGTGGTCTAATGTAGTGGTACAGGACACGTTACTGTGGCTTTTCTGAATGGAGGCTCCATTAGGTGCCACTGTTTGGAGATGTGGTTGTTACAGGGAGAATCATGATGTTTTGTTTATGACTTGTGCATTCACGTTTGTCTCATTCTGTAGCTTATTTTGCATGTTGCATGTTGTGCAAGTGCACTTTTGTGTGTTGTGCATGTGCGCTCGTGTCCAAAGTGTGTGTTTGTGTAGAGGGGGATCTGTGTTATTTTACACACTTTCAAATTTTCATTATGGGGATACAATGTTCTCAGGAGTTTTACAACAGACATTTCATGTATTCTATAATATAATTTCAATACAATGTAATGGCTTTAATTGATATAAAAAACTACATTATAAAATAATATAATATAATAAAAAGTTAATTTATTCAGCAAAACATGCCTAGAATATTAAGTCTGGCATATGTGAAACACATACATTTTCATGAATTAGATAATATAGTACCAATACAACGTAATTGCTCAAATTGAAATATAATATAATATAATATAATATAATATATAATAACATTTCAGATTTTATATTTTTATTATTAAGCAAAACATGCCATCTCTCTGCTGTTTTACACAGTGCAGTTTTATATAGAGATACGAGTAGTTTTATAACAGACATTTTATGAATATAAATTATAATATAATGTAGTATAATTTAATAATATAAAATGTTTTTTTGTTTTTTTTTCTCAAAACATGGCATCTCTCTGCTAGAATATTTAGTGTCTGACATGTAAACAAATTAATAGATCTTAATTTTTAGATGCTGTACCTATATTATGTATTTTAGCACAGCTGGAATATTTTGAGCAATCCAGGACTGCAGCTTTAAGATTTCTAACAGATGTGGTCAATGTAATATTTTAATAATTAATACAGTCATTTCAATAATAACAACAATATCCTTTGTGGCATGTCAAGTACTTAGCCTCAAAGCACATATCAGCACTAGCTAAATAGTTCATTTAATTTGACCTGTGGAAAAGATTAATTGAATAAGGATGATCGCTAGAGAAATCATATGGTTTAGTATTCCAGGTTGTGGCTATTTCAACTAAAATTATAATGTGTCTGAATTAAATTACATTACTTGGTTGTTCTCTATAGTTCTCTATTCTATTCTATTCTATTCTTTTCTATTCTATTCTATTCTAGATTGTTATGTTTTTGCATTTGATGTAGTTTGCAACATTTACTGTAGAGTGACCCACAGTGTCACATATGATAAAAACAGCTGTATATAGCGCTTTGTGACACTGGTATCATGATAGGATCATACCACTTGATCACTGGTGATTCCCACCATGTGTTTGATAAATAATAAGACAAGATAAGAAAGCAGAATGATGCTTCAGTCTATGCTTCAGTGGCTGGAGTTGTGTGGATGCTCGGAGGGACAGTGTGTGTGTTGTGTGTTCACTGAGGCGAGTGTGTGGTGTGTTTAACTGGTGTGTGCTTGCGGGGTAGGGTTGGCTAAGGATACCGCCTGGAGGGGCTTTCAGCAAATGGACAGATACGGAGGAGACAAAAAAAGAAACCGTAATTAAACAACTGTTTTTATACTAAATTACAGTCACATCTTACACCTACAGTGTTTCTCTATTAACACATTCGTTAATAGAAGGAAATATCATACTGCAGTTGTTTTTGTTTGTCTGTTTGTTTTTGGGGGCCAGGTCCATTTTTTTTTCTATTCGGATACTAAACAATTCAGGATATTTAGGGTAAAAATAACGTCGATTATGGTTGATTATGACTTTTAAAGGGATAGTTCACCCAAAAATTAAAAGTCATTCACTCTCCACTTGTTCCAAACTTGTATGAGTTTTTTTCTTCTGCTTATCACAAAAGAAGATATTTTGAAGAATGCGTGTAACCAAACAGTTGACAGTAGCCATTGACTTCCATAGTATTTTTTAGAGATGCACCGATTGCATTTTTCTTGGCCGATTCTGATTTCCGTTTTTTTTGTTAGTGTGATCTGCCGATACCGATTTTTGCCAATTCCGATTTTCTTAAAATGTTTCTGCATCTGTTTATGAAGGAGCTTTTAGCGCCACTCACTGGACATTTCACTCTGAAAATGTCACGAAATGTGCAATGTAATATTAATTTGCAGAAAAGTCACCCCAGGCACATTTTCCACTGAGCCTTAGTTGAGTAAAATCATGCATGTCTCATCTTTATTAGAGATGCACCGATTGCAATTTTCTTGGCCGATTCCGATTTCCGATTTTTCGTTAGTGTGACCTGCTGATACCGATTTTTGCCGATTCCGATTTTCTTTCTAATAACTATAATTGACAGCATATACAAACAAAAATCTACTTTTCTTCAACGCAAAGTTTTATTTTCATTAAAAAACACAAGTAAAAAGTCAGCAATAAAATAAGAACAAATAAAAAAATTGCAAACATCAGCACAAATAAATGCAATAGAATAAAGAGAGCTATGAAACTAAGTTTTTCAGGTTAAGTAAGTTTTTATTCAGGTAAGAAATACTACAGAAATTAAAGTAATCAAATGTAAAATAACACTGGATGTGTTATTTTACATTTGATCCAGTGTTATTTTACATTTGATTACTATAATTTCTGTAGTCTTCATTGTAAAAATTAAATACAGATTAATGCTTACCATTAAAGTTATAAAACGTATTATTTTCTTTGTCTTTTGTTCTTTAAGACAACAGACAGCAGCATAAATATTGGACTGCGGTACCTTTAAGAGTTTATCCACGGACCCACTATACTGTTACACAACATGCGTTTACTTTCTCAACTATTTAATGTTCCAATCATTTTGGTATTTGTGGCTCACAAGCAGTTTGAGACTGAGTGCGGATTGTGCGCTCCACTAATTTAGATCAGTGGTGGTGCGCGTGTGTTTGGTGTAAGCGCGAAACCTAAATGATTAAAATAATGCGTAATACAAGCACTATTTAACCGGAGCGAATGAGACGTGTGTGAGAGAGAAGGGGTCATCGGAGAGAAGAGAGCGAGAATGCGCGGCTGATGTTATTGCCTGTGCCGCTGGTAACAAAACGGATCGGCTCGAAATCGGAAAGAAGTGAGACTGACCGACCGATCACCGATCCGGGCCGATCATGAGGAAAATCGGCCGATTCCGATCCCTGGCCGATCGATCGGTGCGTCTCTAGTATTTTTCTTTCCATATTATGGAAGTCAGTGGCCACCGTCAACTGTTTGGTTACCAGCATTCTTCAAAACTATTTTCTGTGTTCAACAGCTGAAAGAAATTCATACAGGTTTTGAACAACTTTAGGGTGAGTAAATGATGACAGAATTTTTATTTTTGGGTGAATGATTCCTTTAATAGTTTTATGTTGGTTTGTTGCATACAAACATAGTGGGAAAATACCTGCAGTCTAGTTAATAATGTTTTGCTTTGTTTTGTTCTTAGTTTAGTTTTTTTTTTTTTTTTGCGTTCTACTTAATAATGTTTTATGTTTTTTTGTTTTCTTTTCTTTTTTGCTTGTTTGTTTGGATTTTGTTTTTTTATTTTGTTTTATGTTTTTGTTTTGTTATTTGTTTCCAAACTTTTTCCCCAGACATTTTTAAAGTTCTGTGAATGTTGTATGCTTTTGTGTAACTTGCATCATACTAAGTGAAAATGGGGCAGACATTCCTTATGAATAATCAGAAAGAAAAAGTACGACACATAAATTACTTAAATATGCTACCAGGGGCGCCGCTATAGGGTTTCCAGGCCCCCAGAACATCACATTGACTCGGGGCCCCCATGGTTGGATCCCCTCTCTGATCAGGGCCCCACTGTAGGTACACACTGCAAACATGTTTAGATTGCGTGTATTAGTTTGAGAGACATACCCCAGGCTTACCATGACTGGAAGTGTAATAAATGCACATTGACGTTCCGATGACCCTTTGCCCCTGAGCCCACACCACCCCCACCTCCTCTCTCTGTTCGACTGATGAATGGAGAGGAGATTGAAGATCAGGTGAAGGGGAGAACAGGCCCTTATGCTTGCTGTGGCGATTACTACACAGCACTGTCATTGAATCTGACAGCTGTGTGACAGTTGTGGAAGAGATACATATTGTATCTGGCAGTGCCTCTGCATTAAATTTTTTGTTAATGTGTGTATGTGTGTGTGTGTGTATGGTTCTGTGAGGTTAAAGGCAGGTGGAAGACATCAAGGACAAATAGTGGTGTATTATAGTCTTGACTAATTCTAGTTCTACAAAGTGTGTGTTTGTCCAGTTGTGTGTGTCCATTTACATTGGTTTAGATCTTCATAATTACACATCAATCCATCCTGTATCTCATGGCCATTCTTTAGGATCTGTTAATATAAACCATGTTTATTCACATATACATGTATTGATACATACCGCAACATTAGCAGTCTATTAAAGCGTTTGAAAGTTTTACTTATAATGTAAGTTGATGTTTTTGCACCAAAAACAGTCAAGATTAAACAGGCTGTTTTTGTTACTGTAATTAATACTAAAAGAGTTCTATATTTAATTGACTTGTGTTATGAATAGCTAAGTGCATGGGATATATACCAGCCTAATTCACACTGTTGTTCATCAGAGAGGGTTGAGTTCCAGAATGCACATTATATGTTAATGTGCTCATGGTTGTGATGTCGTAACCATGGCGATTTCTGAATGACCTTTTTGTAGCAGTTTAGTTGCTCTAAATGGAGAGAGGAAGCTTTGTGTAGTGTCAGTGGGGTAGATTAAACAAGGAAAATCCTGTTTTCCATTGTTTGTCCTCTTTCAAAATATAAATGTAGGTGTTAAAGGGATAGTTCATACAAAAAAAAAAATCTCCCATCATTTATTCACCCTCTTATTGTTCAAAACCCACATGACTTATTTCTATCAATGTAACACAACAGGAGAAATGCTGCAGAATATACTGTCCATTTTGCATGTAGTAAATTGATAGTAAGTAAATTGGAATCTGGGTTGTCAAGCTCTAAAATGACCAAAAGCACAGTAAAATTATAATTTAAGTGGTCCGTATGGATTTATGTTATGTTCCAAGTCTTCTAAAGCGATACAATAGTTTTATGTGATTAATTTTCAAAATTTCACCATCCAGTTAGGCTCATTATTGCTCTTTTGTTAGCTTTGACTGCTTTTATTGTCCTCATTTGTAAGTCGCTTTGGATAAAAGCGTCTGCTAAATGACTAAATGTAAATGTAATAGAACAAAATTGTTGTCATTTACTGAAAATCCCTCCATTGGACCTCCACTGTCCTTGTTTGCAGTCGAATGGATTATCAAATGAAAACATGTCCAGTGTTTATTTTTTTTTGTACGGAGCCCTGCACATGACATGCAGAGATTTAATGTGGTCAATTCATGCAAACAAAATTATTAAAACATTGCCATGGCTTTTTGGGACCCGCATTGTATTGTTTTGGTTTGTTATTTTTTTTCCTGCTCATTTTGTAGCTCCACAAACTACATCCTAATTCTCTTTCATAATATGGAAAAGAGTAGCCATCACATTCTTCAACATTTCTTCTTTTGTCTTCTACGAAAGAAAGAAAGTTATACAAGTTTGGAATGACATGCAATTGAGTAAATAATGACAGAATTAAAAAATTTTTGGAGTGAGCGATCACTGTAACTTTTTTTTTTTTGCATGTTTCTGATTGAAAAGAATCTCTCTCTGGAGGTCTTGAAAAACTTGTGCAGTTGTGTCCTGTCAAACTGGCAGTGGTCTTGCTGCGTCCTGGTGTCCTGAATGTATTCTCTCCCTGTTTTGGCCAGCACTTGCCAGTGATCCGCTATAATGACGGGAATGCTGTTTGTATGTGTTTCCCCTGCTTGTGGCTGCAGTGTTAACCCTCCTCTTCCCTGTTCCCTCTCTCCCTGCACCAGGCCCGGCTCACCTCCTGTTCATCCACTTATAGTGTCACAGAGGTACAGCATGTTTTACACAGCGCCGTCCATCACCCTGCGACTAACCACGCCCCTCTCAGAGACTCGGCCAATCATTGCTCACACATACCTCACATGTGCACAACTCATCCCTGTGAAGCAAGTCTGTCTCATCGGTTCATTTATTTACCCCCCAAAAAAGCCTTGTAGTTTGTTTTGTGTGTTCGAGTGTGTGTTTGTGTGTGTCCTTCAATTCATTAGTTTCTCATGAATTCTGAACTTTTCTTTCCTTAATAAGGATGAAGTGACACAGAATCAATAATTCGTTAAATGCAAAACATCATATGTGCAGTTTTTTTCATAATTGATAAAAACATTTAAAGCTGCTGTAAGCAATATTTTGAAATACTCCAGCTCAACACCAAATAGAAAAAGTTTATATAATAATAGTAATAATAATATAGTTATTATTATTTTGTTATTATTGTTTTTTGTATTTCCTGTTATTCTCAGCTGATTCTCATTACTGTAATAGTCTTTAAAACTTTATTTTATTTATTTCATATATTAAAGCCAATAAATGCTATGATGATTCATAAATACTGTTAATTTTACAACTTTTATAGATAATGTAATACCATTTAAATAATATATCTTTGTTTTTCACATTACAGTAACGAAAATTCTGTTTTTTTTTGTTTTTTTTACATTGCGGTAACGAGAATTTTTATTTATTTAAAAAAAAAAAAATTTTATGATTTTTTTTTTTTTAATTTTTGAGTTAGGTTTGAAGACATGTTTGTGAAATGTGAAATCAGATTCACCCTTGGAGGGTGGCTTTTGGGAGAGAGTGTTTGAAGGGATGGGTGATGGTGGCGGAAGTTAACATGATGGCTAAATTGCTTATGGCAGCTTTAATAACCACCAAATGCACTCTTGTTCCTCGAGACTAAAGACTTTTGTCTCTCATAAAATGCTACTTTTCTACAACACTTCCAGTTTCACAAAGTTGGAGGGGTTATAGAAATGAGCTTTAAGTGCTCATTATCCACGGAAACCTCCTTTGTTTTTAGAAATCCGATGAAAGACCAGCGTAACACACAGAGACACGCTGCAGCTGCTTTGCTCCTCTTTGGTTGCGTAGTAGTAGTGGGATTATTTTGCTGTTATGACTTCGCTTGATTCCCCCTCATATTATTCTTATCAGTGTTAGATGATTCTTAGAGTGTGTGTTTGTGACAGTGTATATTGTGAAGTGTGTGCGTGTTTGTTGACGGGGAAGGCTGTATCAGGTGAGTTACTGTCCTGTGGCTTCCTCCAGGCCTCACGGAGAGAGTTCAGGGCTCACCTGGATGAGGTCATCACGCTCAAGTCAAGGTACTCTACCTTGGACCAGGTAAACAGATATCCCTTTCTCCCCTAATCTTCACATAAATCAACACTCAGTCAATCACACATACAAACATGCACTAAAGTCTTCCCTCAGAGTGTTGCTTGCGGCCCACAGTCTGATGTAGCATCAGGGCAGTTTGTTTTGTTATAGCTTTATCTTCTTGTCTTAAACAATCTCTGTCTCTCTCTCTCTAGCTCTGTTCCAAAACCTAGTCAGCTGCCTTGTTGTCTATCAACTAAAGAAGTGACTACTGACTAACTTCTTAGCACTTCGACTCAAATCAAATATTTGGATTAGATACAATTTGTATCAGTACTTTTTGGTATTAAATATACATATAATAAACATTTTTCTTGACTTGTCTGCAGTCTTGAATGAAGTTTTTCCCAAAAAGTTTGTCGCAGTGCATTTTGTGATTGCCGCATTCTCTCGTCTTACAATTTGGCCAAATGAAGTTATTTTAGAAGGCAACATAATTGTTAAATAATCTTACTTTAATGCAGTTAACTCTTTTATAATTTTATTTTATATGTAAAGTTTAATTCAATTTCATGTTTTCTTCGCTTAAAAACAGTGAATCCATAAAACTAAATATAACTAAATATAATATAATATAATATAATATAATATAATATAATATAATATAATATAATATTTAAAGTTTAATTCAGTTTCATGTTTTCTTTACTTAAAAAAATTGTGAATAAAAAAAAAGATTATTTTGATAATAGTATAATATATTTTAATTATTTTACTTAATATATATTACTTAATGCTACTAATATACTACTGTTTTTTTATTAAACTAAGGTTTATTTTATTTATTTATTTATTTATTATTCCGTTTTACTGCATTGTACAGTTAGTTAAGTGAATTAACTGTGTTAAATAAAAAAAATAATATTTAATTAATCTTAATATTTAAAAACAAGGCTTGATATTTTAATATGCATTTTAACTTTAAATAAAATAATACATTTAAGATTTAAGCAAGTTTGATATTAATCATGTTATCTGAAAAATGTATTGCAATTAATTTTTATTTTATTAAACTAATAGGATTGTTCAATCTATATAATCATTCAGCCTACCTTTTGGAGCAGCTTTCATGTTGGAAGTGTGCCTATAATGGCTTAAAATGGTTTTGATCACTAGATTTTGGAAAAGAGCCTCTCTTTTCCCCTCTTTCTCTCTTTTTCTTTCTGTCCCTCTTTCAGAGCTAATAAAATGGCTCACCAGCATTACAGCTGTTAGTTTCCATACTGTCTTATCAACCATTTCTGATTGGTTAATCACAGAGCGGAGTTCCTCTTATTGGGCCTGATACTCACTTGTTAATAATGCATTCCTGTTCCCCAATTACTCCATCTTCGTTTCACTGATCAGGGATTAACTCTCATCTGCCCGTATGCTGACACATGGTTCCCTTGCGTGTCACGAGGACGTGTCTGTTTGTGAGCGTGTGTTTTCAGTCCACTGAGTTCTTTGGTCCGACTCTGATTTAAAGAGACCTGACGTCTCTGCATTGCTTTCATTGCCTCCATCCATTCCTTCAACCCCTCCTGTGATCATTGGTTTGGTTACCTCTCATCTCCACTCTGAGCTCATTCTGTCTGTTGTTTGATGAATGGTTAGATGAACAAATAGAAGGAGGGGAAGAATAAAACGTGTCAAGGATGTACAATTTTCCTTGCCTGTACTTACAGGACTTGGTAAAAAAAAAAAAAAAAGGCTGGTTAACAGCATACTAGTGTGAGGTTTGCGTGTTTATGTTGAGTTAAATCTAATGATATTGGTCTTTTTTATTACACATAGTGCTGGATTTTTAAGATAAAACAATTTTTTTTTTTTTTAATAAAGTGTGTTCAGTTTTACTGCATTCAGTACTTTTCTTAAGGAAAGAAAACAAATTAAACTGATTGAAACCGTTTTAAAGGGGTGGTTGATTGCGATTTCACTTTTTTAATGTTAGTGTGTAATGTTGCTGTTTGAGCATAAACAATATCTGCAAAGTTACTAAGCTGAAAGTTCAATGCAAACGGAGATGTCGTCTTTTAAAATTCTGGCAGTTTAATGCCTACAAAAACGGCTGGTAGGGACTACAACAAGTTACTTCCCGGGTTCGTGACATCACAAACCCAGATAAACCCCGCCCTCGGGAAAAGGCAGCAAAGGGGGCGGGGCCATGCTGCGCTGCTTTAGAGAAGAGGAAGAGAAAACTAGGGGTGCACGTAAAAATCTGTTCATATATGAATCGCGATTTGTTCTAAAACAGCGGTTCTTAATACTGTTCCTCGCGTCGCCTGCTCGGCCTCTC